TCCTGCTGTTTTAAGGACAGTTTATGGCTAATCTGCCACATTTAGAAGGAACAGAAATGTCCTTTTCTCCAAGTACTTTCTGCCAAAAAAAGTTTGTATGAAGTTCCTATAATTTAGTTATGGTAAGCGTATCATAGAAGGCTGATTAAGGTGCTTGCCAAATCACATCAGCTTGAAGTGATGTGAATGGGAAAAAAAAGGAAAAAAAAAAAATCCCTTTGCTTCTAGTTTTATCCCAAACCTTTTCACTGTTCTTACCTGGTTGATCCTTTTTTATTAAACTTCTACACAGTAATATTTAGAATCTTGCTTACTTGTATACTTTTTGTGTACAAGATCTTCAGATAAAATTCTCCACTTTGTGCCTTGTGTAAACACATGAAAATTATGTTTTTCCAGATGCTGAAACTCTAGCATCAGACATAAATATATCCAGCCACTTCTTTACATTTATGTTTGTCCTTTTGGACATTAGGTCAAACACTGAAATGAATGCTTCCTGTCTTTAAAGCAGTACAGACCACTACATTGAAAAGAACCCACTTGATAGGTCTCTTCACAGGGAAATAACCATCTTTGCTAATAGACTTGTGTTTTTGAAGTCTCATAGACTCATTTAGGTGTGATCACAGGAGACACAGATGGTTGTCTAGTGCAGCTGGCTGCTGGGACGCCAGAATGGCAATGGCTCCGCAGCTTTCTTTGCTAGTGGCAGAGTGCTATAAAGCCAAGGGTATGCTGCTATTATTCTTCAGGTGGAAGCTGTATTCTTTCCAGAAGCAGACTCACCATGCCCAGTATCCTATTCCTCCTCCTTTCCCATCTGGAACAGCAGCAGAAGCAGCAAGCCTAGCTCTCTGGCTTTTTTTTACTCCCACTTTTATGGAAGGAGCATCAAGGCCTTGAGACCCACATCTGTGCAGCAAAACTCAATTCACCTGTAGTGTTGATAAACATATTTGAAAATATTACTCTACGGTATTGTCTCCCATGGGAAGGAAGGGCTCAGAAAATGTTTACCACCTTGAAAAGTGCAAACTCTTTGGCACCTTGGAAAAGGCAAAGATTGGTTCACAGGCTCACTGATGAGAGAGCTTGAAATAAAATGCAAATGATAACTGCAGTCCTAAAGCCCTTAGCACATATACGGAGGGAAAAAAATACTGTAGTTTATCTTCATGATTAATCTCTTATTCTAACATTTCACAGTTTAAAAGCACATCACTATTGTGAAATACTGCAAAATGTTAATTTCATACAGTTGGGGAAGGAAAATGAGAGGGCAATTAACAAGATTTCACATTAAAATTTTAACTGCTCTCTTGGCAAACTTGAAATGACAGAGTTTGAGGAACAGTGATGGAATGGGAAAGTAGTGTAAATCCAAACACTATTTTAAATAGAAATGTATCTGCCTGTGGTCATCAAATATTTTAAATAACTGCAACAACTACAGATGTTCAGAAAATTCAGATTTTTGAAAGTTCCAAAGTTAATACAACAGATGGAGAGGAATTCTGTTTTCAAAATGCTGTTTTCCCCACTTATTTTTAGTAGGCTTTTTATGTATTCCTTCAAATGACAAAAAAAGGAATTAAATTATGAATCACAGAGAAAATCAGAAATTTAATAAAAGTATATCAAATCGTGCTAGGAAGAAAGTGCACAAAAATGAATTCCATAGTGACGCGTAAGTATCAAATAAAATATTGGATGTCTTTTATCTAGCATTTATCCAAAAGGAATATAATTTGATTTTTTCTTGTGCAATAAAAAACCATAAAGCCTAAAAAAACCCCCCTAAAGCATCATCAGTTAGCTTTGACATTCTAGCAGCAAAGATACAAAAGAGATTTCTATTTCACTATTGCTTTCAACAAATGTGTTGTAATTTTTCCGTATTCTTTTTTAACAATGATGAAAGTAAAAATGCAAAAAAATTTAGTGTATCACTTTCTTCCCCTCCATGCCTTTTGAACCAATTTTGTTTAAAAACTGGAAGCCCATAGAAGAGCTGTCACATCTGAAAGCCTCTGTCTCCCAATGAGAGATGTATTCTGAAACATCTTCAAGCCACAGTGTGTCAAAAGATTTTATGTAGCATGCAAAACATCTTCTTCCTGGCATGATGGAGGCAAAACTTACTATCATCTTTGCATCAGTTACCTTATTTTGGAAGCACTGATGGGGAAAAATAAAGGTCACTTCTTATTTGAACTATAGATATGAGTTCCAGCTTCGCACATCTCTTATTTCAATTCAGAGTAAAACTAGAAAGTATTTGCTACAGTAAAGGCAATGAACATAAATACAGCCCTCGGCAATGAACATTAAGTTACACTGCCCTATAAACACCCCAAGGAACAGATTATCACTCAGAGAGTCATAGTTTGCTTATGATGCTTTTGCTCTGACCTCAGGGGTAATGTTGATGGTGGGTATGAAAATAACTATGCACCAGTTCTGCTCCTCTAAGCAATTAGGTGTCTTGTGCCTCAATAACTACTTATCACTTACATACCTTGAATCTGCATTAGCCACCAATGAGTTGTTTACTTAATGCTTTAAGAGCAAAGACCAGTTTTGGAACCACTTCCAAAACCAAAGTATTTTTAATTGAATGAAATCTGCAAAGAATTCCAGTTCCCTGTGAAGAGGCACATTGTTCATGTCCTCCCAAGAAAGAATACCTGTAATCTGAAAAAAGGGAGTAGAATGGGAGAAAAAAACCTGAGACACCTTTTTTGCCCTTTAAGAAAAGGCTGCTTACAGCAGCGGAGATTTCAGGAGGCTGGCTCAGATTGGTGGAAGAGGCTAAACCCACTGCATAGAGTTCCCTGCGCAGAGGGCTCAGAGGCAGTCAGGCGGCTTCTTGCACAGGATGGCGTGGGCCCAGAAAGTGTACAGCGATGCTCCTGCAGCTGTGTCACGTGAGTGCACCATCTCAGAAGTCTCTGGACTTCTACAGTCGGTGCCTTTATTTTTCCCATCCTGTTCTCATTGCAGTTTCTTCAACCTCAGTTAACCTGTGTTGCATTGCTCCTGGTTTGGGTTTCTCTGGGTTTACCCTACCTTTTCTGCCTCACTGTGTCCGCGGATAACTGAGAGTTCACAGTATGGTAAAGGCTTTGGTGGAATGATCCGAACCCTGTTAGGGTCTGCTCTCCGGGTGTCACATAAAGGGGTAACTTTTCCTCTGCTTTGTTTTTTTTCTGTCTCTCATGAAGCCTGTGAGTGTTCACATTTTGGTAATAACTGCGATCCCGTCAGTGGCCGCTGTATCTGCCCTCCCAATACTGTTGGAGAGATGTGTGACAAATGTGCACCAAATTACTGGGGCCATGACATTGTCAGTGGCTGCAAGGTGAGTGGATTTCTGTCTTCTCTGTGTGTGTCACCTCTTTCCCATGGGGTAAATACAGTAATTTGCAGCTGGAACGCTATTTTAGGTTTCTAAATCACGGTTTGTCTCTGCATTGCGCGTTTTGGTTTCAGACTGGTGTAAATGTTGGCGATCTGTTACTGAGCACTACAGATCCTCTGTCTCAAGTATGCAGCCTGTAACGCTGAACACCCTGCTGTTCATACTGCTGTCACGCTGAGTCAGTGTCCTGCTTGAGCCTGGTTTCTTTTATTATAGCGGTGTTTAATGTGACTGAAAAGATTACCACATTATTGTACAATGTATATAGACGTATAGTTACAGGTAACTGACAGTGCCTTTGCAGAACAAATTTACTTTGGCCCTAATTGTGATGCCACTGGGAATTTGTACTTGAAGTTTACTTGAGAAGGGCTTCAACTTGTGCATAAAAGACAGTGATGAGAGAGGAAAAGAAACAGCCTCCTTAGCTGTAAAATGGACTTTCTTCCTATGTTCTTAAAGGGGAAATAAACCTCATTACCCTTGAAATCCTTCCTATTCCAGTGTTTGACACAGTTAAAAAAAATTCTGAAGGGGAGGGAAGAAGGGAGAAGAAATAGGAAAACAATGATAGTATGTCAAAGAGGCCACGAAAGCTGCTGTTAATGTACTACTCTTGAGTTAAGGGGAGCAGTATTCGATTAAGGTTGAAAACTGGTGACAGTGAATATTATGCAAAGTTCAAATGCCTTCTCCTCTCTGCCATTCTCATTGATGATGAGGTATTTATAGTACTGCTGCAATTACTCCAGAAAACTATGTCTTGTCTGAACATGGTCATACACCATTAATGCTCTTTCTTAAAAAGCTGTTTGTCATGTAGCTTAGGCTGCAAACTAATTAATCAACAGTGATTTCTTTTTTGTATGTATGGAAAACTCCTCTTGTGAAACCTCTGCTGTGCTGCTGAGATGTAGACTCTTGGCTTCTGAAACCAGCCTAATGAGGTTGAAGACCTCTGTTTGAGCTCTGGAGTATATTCTCTGTTTGTCTTTTATGTGAGCGCATTAGTATGGCAGTTCCATGGCACCATCTAAATTAATAATGATCTATCAGCCCACATCTCTTTCAGTATGTTGCAGCTAATTTCTGCAAAGTGAGATGTGAATCTCCTGCTTGCACTCTTTGTAGAAGATTTCCAGGGCTGTCGTAACTCAGGGGGATAGAAAGCATTGCATAAAACTGCTTGCTCACAAAACAAACATAACATCTGATTGTAATTTAAGTTTTGATATTGTACACCAAGCTATTTCAATGTATGGTGAACAATTTCCTTTTTAAGCTTTACGTTCAAATCTATCTTGTAGAATAAGGTTCTTTCTGTCAGAAGGTTTTATTTCTTTGGTTAGGTAGTAGTCTAGCAGTCTAACATTTAAACAGTAGTTAAATACTTTCTCTGGCATTCAGTAACGATTGAATTTGAATATTTCCTTTATATAATCACCTTCTTTATAACTGGTCTTTTCAGATCAGAAGAAACGTGTATTCATGTAATAAACAGCTTTGCTTAGAAACTGAATCCGCATTTTCCTCTTTTTTAGCTGTGTGTCCTTAATTTTAGCAAGTCTATCCATGTCAGTTACTGTGGTAACCTGTACTACTGGCACTGAGTTTGCTTCTGCAAGCTGAACTTCTTCATACAAGATTCTGGTCACGCCAGTGATCACAGCAAATGTCCTGTGCTAACTTTGCAGTACAGTCACAGTAATAGCACTGAGGGATTCTTCTGTTCTTTGGAAGCCTGCAGCTTTCCCTGCTACTTACTTCTGTACTCAATATCTAGACCCCCTGGCAAATCATCTATTTCTATCCTTACTTGCCTGTGCAAGTCTCATTCTGTGAGCAAGCTTACTTCCCAGTACACCACATGACTAAATCTCTGTCCCTTACCGTGTAAATTACTGTCATCTAAGAGTCTTGTTTGTACAAAGAAGATAGTTACCTGTCTGATGGATGAGTAATAAACATTGAACTAGATTCCACTGGGACCACTGCCCCTGAGCAATTCCAGTTTTAGCAAAGTCATCTGAACATGCCCTGCAGAGGATTTACATAGAAAGGACTTTTTAGAAAGCACTTACAGTTTTTAAGTTAATTTTGTCTGCAAAGTTTCCCAGTGTCTTAACCCTTTTGGATTTGATTTTGCTGCCTAACTTATCAGTCATAAGTAATATCTGTTCAAAAAGAAAACAGTGTTGTAAATGTATTTAGTGTAATTGCTTGTCCCTTGTTGAATAAAGATAAATGCCTAGCCTTATAATTTATCTATACTACCTTCGGACAGTGGAAATTCACTGCTGTACTTTATTTATAGATACTTGAAAGAGGTGACTTGCTTTTTTGTTGGTTTGTTTGGGTTTGGGTGTTTTGTTTTTTTTTTCCTGAAGCACAATTGCAATTTTCTCCCTGTTTCTCTCCTTTTTAGCCCTGTGACTGCAGCTTCATTGGAGCCCTGAGTTCTCAGTGTGACTTAAATACAGGCTGTTGCTTCTGCCGCCCTGAATTCTCTGGGGATAAGTGCACTGAGTGCAGGTTGGGTTACTGGAATTATCCACAATGTGTTGCTTGTCAGTGCTTCCTGGCAGGGACTGATCCACAGAGCTGCGATACAGAGATGGGAAAGTGCTCATGCATTGATCATAATGGCCAATGCAGCTGCAAGGTAGGACAATGAAGGCTGTAAGCTGATCTTATAGCTGCTGAGAAGTTTGTTCCAAAATTCATTGACATTTGTACCTGCCTGTTCCAACAATATATGCAAACAAATCTAGTTAGTTTTCATAGTGCATTTGCTAACTGCTGTGGGATGAGTCTAACATAAAAAAAGAATTAAGTGCTTATCAGTTGCTTTTTCACACGCTGACACTTGTCAGAATAGCAGGTGTATTTGTATTGCATTTGTATTTCTCGCTTTGTATTTCTTCCTGTTCTTACAGAACTGTTGCCCATTTAACCCCATTCAATACAATTCTTCTTCAGATATTTCGCAAATTAAAAGCAAACACATTGATAATAACAGTATGCCGCAGTGCTAGCTCTTTGTAGTACCTTGACTTAGAAGGAGTCAATCCTGATCCTTTTATGACTAGAATTCACTGCAGTAGTATCTGTTCTTCTGAGTAGACTGCATCCAGTTCAGCATCACTAAAGCAAAGACTTTTGGCGTCATGACCCACAGCTTTGTTATTTGGAATTGTTCTTGGAAGAACAGCACACTTAGGTGGTTTGAAAATTGGCTGGATTGCTGGGCTTACAGGGCAATAATCAGTGGTTTGACATGCAGTGGGTAGCCAGCAAGCACAGTACTCCAGAGCCAAAACCTTCATCAGTGACAGAGATGACAGAATTCACCATCAGCAGATTTGAGAATATTGCTGATTTGGAGGAGGTAGAGGTTGACATGCTGAACAGTAGAACTACAATCTAGAGGGTCCTTGAAAAGCTTGATGATTGGGAAAATAGAAAGGTCATGAATTGGAGTGGAATAACCTCCAGAATCAGTACAGTTTGGGAGGAAAAAGGCTGACTGGTAATCCTGCTGAAAAGCACATACGGGCTTTGGGGAATGACAAACTGAATATAAGCCAACCGTGTACTCTCATTGTAATTAAGGCAAACTACCTACTGAGCTGGATGCATTGATCACACTGGCCAATGCAGCTGCAAGGTAGGACATCATGAAGAGCATGACCAGCAGAGGAAAGTCTTTATCCCCCTCTACTCAGTGCTGGTAAGACTGCACTTGGAAATGGTGCCCCGTTTTAGGACCTGATTCAAGATTGTTGTTGATAAACTGGAGAGAATCCAGAGAAGGGCTACAAAGAGACTTTGAGCAGATGGTATGTAAGGATATACTAAGAAAGCTGGACTCTTTCAGTCTGCAAAAAATAGAGGCTAAGAGAAAAATGCTATTGCAGCCTATAGCCACTTCAAAGAGTGGTTGATGGAGTCAAGTCTTTTCTGATAGTAGCAAAAGATGTGACAAGGGACAACAGCTGCTAACGGCAGCTTGGGAATTTTGGGTTGGACATTAGGAAAAAAAGTCACTAGGAGGGTTATGCAGCACTGGAATAGATTGTCCAGATAGGTTGTGAAATCCCCATTCTTGGAGATTTTCAAGAATTGGCTAGAAAGAGCCGTGGAGAACCTGATCCAGTATTGATGGTAGTCCCGCTTCAAGGGTGAAGTTTTTAAAAGTGACCTCTAGAGATTCCTTCTGTGATTTTGATTCATTTATTCAGGGACTGTATTGACACAAAGAGCTGGTAAAATGGAAGGATGAATTTAAATTATTGAATTGCCAGGTAATTCTTTTGTTTAATGGGCACCAGTGGCTTCATTCTGAGTTTAAAGTGTAAACTCAATGGAGGAACTGCAGAACAAATGAGATTGGAAGGGACCTATGAAGATCATCTAGTCCTTGTTTGAAAGACATTGCTGAGGCAATATTTCCAAGGATGAGGATTTCACAACCTCTTTGTGCAAACTGCTTGATGACCCTCTCGTTTTTCTGGTGTATTTGGACAGAAAACATCATGTTCTGTTTCACAAATAGTGATTCATTTGATGGTGAGAACATAAAAAAACTGAAGTGAGTGAGTTGATCACATGGACCATCTGAGTAAAACCCAGCCTAAAGATCGGTGTCATTTGTCCTATGTCATCCTCTGGGATGGAAAAAGAGAAGTATCTCAATTCTTTCAGCCTCTCTTGATACGTGATGTGCTCCAACCCCTCTAATCATCTTTGTGCCCCCTTTCTTGATTAGGTCCAGTATGTCAATGTCTGTCTTGTAGCTCTTGTAAGCACTAAGTAGAAAGAATGGGGGTTTATGGCATTTTTAAATAGAAATGTTTCTTTGTTGATTCTTTTAAGACTAATATAGTTAGTTCTGTATTTCTGTGAGTGCAAATTAACAGTATGTATTTATTTAGCGGATGATTAATGATGAGAAACTGCAATTGACATGAAACAATGCAAAGCAATGAAGCAAAGCAAGTAAAATTCACAATTTATGACAGAAAATGGACAAATAATACTGAATTAAGTCAGCAGATTTTTTATTTCCAGAATTCAAGTCTAAGGTTGAATTTAAATCTAGGGTTGGTTAACCTTTTGTGTAACTTTTTTGAAAGAGTTTTATATTGAAGAAGCTAGACTCTTATAAAATGGTAATCATTCCCATTTAAACCTGCTGTTATAGCTGCAGAAATTAGCTTTCAAAGGCTCAGGAGTCCCTTTGTCAGCCCTGACAAAAGGCAGCAAAATCTAAGCTAAATACAGTGTAGGCACATTTGCTTATAGAGTTACATGTGGAAATGAGGGTTAAAAATGGTAAATCCTTGGGGATAATATTGGTTTCCTGTATAAGCTTTGGAAAGTTGAATTTGTTTTTTAGATTGGCTTCTTCACGTTACTCTCAAGACAAAAAAGGAGGGGAGGAAAAGCCAACCAATGTTTTCATATTGGTGATTTTTTTTTAAATACCTTTGTCTCAGTATGAAAATGGTTTTAAAAGGCTATGCATAAATTATTGTGTATCTGGCCCTATCTGGGATAGCTTTTTATTTGTACTAATTGAAAAATGAAAATAAAAGCATTGACATTGCAGCAGTGAAACATTTCAGCCTTGTTAATACTGTTCAATGATGTGGAAAACAATCATGGGGAGGGGAAAGCTTTTCGCTACAATATTTCCATTAAAATATGTTTCTCAACAAGAACATTTAGTACTGTACCTTAAACATCCTAACTTGTCAAAGCTAATTCCTATTAAACAGAAGACTTGATTAACCCTGGCAATTTCAGAAGGACATATTTTTTCTTATCTTATCAATCAGTTATTGAGCATGTCATGCCCAAAGTTCCATTTGATTTTTCTGTGCTTACAGCTGTCAGTATGAAGCCAGCTTCCATTGCTCAGAGCTACTCAGTGGATACAAATGCAAATGCCTCAATTACATTAATTGTATATGTTTGCATACACACATGATAAGAAGCTGGAAAGTACTCTGATTATTTCCTTGCACTTATTATTGTTTCTTTATGCACCCTGTTATTATCATCATTACTGTATGATTTTGTTTTTATTACTACCTCAAAATAAAGCTTGCTTTTTTTTTTTGCTTTTTTTTTTTTTTAAATATTCTGTCTCTTCCAGGTTAATGTGGAAGGTGTCCATTGTGACAGGTGCAAGTCTGGTACATTTGGTCTCTCTGCCAGAAACCCACTTGGCTGCAGCAGTTGCTATTGCTTTGGCCTGACTACACAGTGCAGTGAGGCAAGGGGGCTGATTCGCATGTGGGTGAGTAGGAAACTGCTGAGCCATGTAATGCGATAATGTCGTTTCCTGCTGGCATCTTTTAGTCAGGCACTGAGAGGTAGCTAGAAAATGGCTAAACATTTAAGCAATCATTTTCCTCTTTATACTTTGAGAAGTGGAGAGAGCAGTATGTTCCATTAGACAATCAGGGTCAAGGCATTAAAAGTAAATAAGTAGATAAGAAACCCAGTGACAGGACAGCTGACGTCAAGCCAAAGTAAAGCTGTTAAAAGCCAGGGAAGGGCAAGCTAGTCGTGTGGGGAAATTATGCAGTCCAGTGCATTGTAACATAATCTCTGGTATATGACACACGTTTTACCCAGGTGTATTCAAGGGTCACATGCTTGTAGTCCAGCATAGATTTACCATGGTTCCATTAATCTGTTTATTTTCATTGTTTTGGGTTTTTTTTTAATTTAAAAAAAAAAAAAAAGAGCTTATTAAAGCTCTATTTAAATCCAAGAATGGGAGGGTATAATCCATCAGAGCAAACACAGAGCTCTCCACCTATTTATGGAGAAGGGCCTTGGGACCTATGCTGGACTGACAAATAAGGCAGACTGGATGTCTTCATTTGTCTGTACAATGAGCGCAAAACACACGTTGAGACTGCTGCTGTCCATCGATGCTGTGCGAGCTCCTCAGTGACATTCTGGAGGAGCTATTTCTAATGACAAATGACTAGTTCAGTCCCCATGTATGGTCAATCATGTCTCTGCTGGAAAGCATAGAGGGAATGTCCGCCTAATGCAAATCAGCCAAAGCCCCTGACTTGTCATGCACAAGCATCAAATGGATAAGGATACTTTAGGCTGAAATCAAGGTGTGATCTCTTACTAAAGAGTTCATATCTCTTGTTGAAGTGGTATGAATAGCACCGGTTCTCAGCTTCATTGTTCAATCCAATAGCACCTCTTTTCCTTCCCAGTGGATGAAGTGATTTATCATGGTCTGCCTCAATTTTTCCTCATTATTTTAGTTTTGCCCATCAGATGTTGGTAGGCTGGAGATGAAAGGCTGTAAAAGGCTGACAAGTTATAAAATTTAATCAATTCCATGACAGAAACAGTTCTGGAAAATTGTGCTTTGACCTTTGTGGCAGCACAAAGCAGAAACGTAGTTTAAACCTCCTGATTATTTTGTGTCTCTTGATTAATTTCCTTTGCTATTTATGGTCATATCTAAACAAGTGTATGTCTGCGTATCATCTAGTTTTTGGTACTCTGATCTATTTCAGAATTGATTCAGAGTTGTAAACGGAGCAAGACTGGGTTCTGCCAGCTGCTAGTGACTATTTCAGATACTCTCAGGTGCTTGAAATGGCATTAGACATGTTTAAACAAGCAAATCCTGTCTTATATGACAATAAGGCAAAGCTGATCTGAAATTTAAATGTGTTGCCAACTTTCTTGATGTCTAAAGTAGTAAACAGTAAAATACGGTTATGGTAGGAGCTTGGGAAATATCACTTAGGGCTGGCAATGTTAGGAATGCTTCCATGTCTGGTCACTCCATAGTGCTCTAAATGTACAGTACAGGGCTTGGCTGGTTCCTCATTACCTGATCCCTATCTTGTGCACAGCATGTTGATGGGATGACTGTTAGAGCTATAACTGTGCATTTGTTTTCTTCGTTTTCCTCACTCTTTGGGAGAAAGCAATTTTGGTACCAGCCCTTTGCATTCCCCACACACTTCCTGTGATACTTTCATCTGCACAGAATTACTAAGACTCTTATTACAGTTTTTGATCAAAATAATAATTTCTATATAATGCTATTGAGACTCTTTCAACAAGTCTAAGAAAATTACAAGTACCTAAGTGGCATCCTTATACTTTTCATCAAATCTGAATTTAGAGTTACAGAAACCCTGAGCCCTCACTCTCCGCATAATGCCCGGAGAACACTTAGCTTGACTATTGCGTAAAAGTACCAAGGGATCAGGGACTGTGTTCCACAGCCCCAGTGATGTATAATAAGTGTTGGTGAGAAGTATGCTTCTTCATAAGGTACATTTCTCACAATCCGAACAGAAGAGGCCTGAGACTGAAATAGCATTATGAAAATCGCTTCAATAAAATTCTTGGGATCACTTGTTGATGAAACTATTTTAACCAGTGCTAGTAAGTTCATTGTTAACTTGAGGACAAGGTGCAAAAGGCTTGAGGGGGAGGTCATTATTATCACTGTTTATACCTGAAAGAGTAGTAAGACTGTTTTGTGACAAATTGCTCATGATGTGAAATGAAATTACCTAGAAATAATTTTTTAAAGAGTTAGAATTTAAAGACTAACACTTCATGGGGAAAAATAGACTTGATTTTCTTCTTGATTTTTTTGATTATGTATAGGTAACCTTGAAGCCAGAGCAAATGATTCTACCACTGGTAGATGAAAAACTTCAGCGCAGCACTCTTTCAGGGATTGCATTCCAGCCTCCTGAAATAGTAGCCAATATAGAACAGGTGATGCAGGATCTTCGGTCAGAACCTGTTTACTGGAGACTTCCGGAGCAATTTGAGGGACGAAAGGTAAACACAAAATTCCACTGAATACTGACATGGATTTATATATTTTCTTAATCTTATATTTGTATTTTGCAATGCCTTTTTTCCCTTCCAATAACTATGTCATCACACAGTGGTGCTTAAAAAAAAAATAAATGCCATTCCATTATGAAAAATTATTTACTCCATTATCATGGAAATTCATAAGTCTGTAACATAAACACTATTTTAAAATATGCATTTTTATTTATTTATATATATATTTACAGACAGTAACATGTAATATTTTCCCACAAGATAGATTCTCTCATAAAAATGTTATTTAAAAAATTAAGCTGCATTAATCTAATATAACCCTCTTGTAACTTTTTGTTTCTCTCCATTTAAAAAAAAAAAAATGCCCGATCTTTGTAAGTTACACAGGAGAAAATGATTGAAATAACCCTCCTTTTGGATATTGTTATGGGCCTCTGTGACGATTTATTTTGCACTTTTGATATTTCTTGGTTTGGCTTGGGAAAGTTTAGATGTTTCTTTCTCTGAACACAAACTTTGGGGAACACCAAGGCACATACAAAAGAAATAGATAACATTTTGTTTTTAGCGTAGTACAATAACAAATTGCTGATGGGTATTTTTGAACACAGCCCTTGTCCCCAGACAGTTCTGCAAGCATGTATTGCTATTTTCTACCATACGCACATTCATCAGACTGCGCACAGGTGCAGAGTGTATCTAGCTCCTACATATGCCCAGGAATTTATTTTTAGCTAACTGAAAATGAAATTTCTTTTTGTACTTTGTGTTTTGCTTTGTTAGCTGACTGCTTATGGAGGGAAACTGAAATACGCAATCTACTTTGAAGCACGAGAAGAGACAGGCTTTACTACTTACTACCCTCAAGTCATCATAAGAGGTGGGCCTGCCACCCATACAAGAATTATTGTCCGGCATATGGCTGCCCCTCTGATTGGGCAGCTGACAAGGCACGAGATAGAGATGACAGAGGTAACATTTCCATCTCCTTTTTTTCCCCAAACTTAAGCACCTGGTTCTTTTTAATATTGTTAATAATCTGGTTTTGTATTACTGTCTTTCAGCATGAATGGGAATATTATGGTGATGACCAAAGAGTCAGAAACAATGTGCCCTGGGAATATTATCATGATGACCCAGGTGTCAACAGGACGGTGTCCCAGGCAGATTTCACATGGAAGCATTATGGAGATGACTCAAGACCAAGTAGAGCTGTATCCCGGGAAGACTTCCTGAATGTGTTGTATGACGTTCATTACATTCTTATTAAGGCTACTCATGGCAATATCATGAGGCAGAGCAGGTAACTATGTCATGCAGTGGTCTGAAATAGTGCAGTAGTCACAGATAACCTGATAGAGCTTCCCAGCAGAATTTTTATTCATAGTATAAGCTATAAGCGGTTGCTGAGAAGAACAGAGGGAGTTAGCATTCAGCATAACAGAAGATGCAGGAGAGGGAAATTTTATTCGATGGAAAATTTAAAACACAATAAGCAAATGAAATCCTTTCAGGATTCCCAGGATCCGAGAACAGAAAACATGTGTAAGCACACACATCCTGAAACAAACAAAAATATTTATTGAATGAATGGCTACTTTATGAAAACATGATGCTGTAATTAAATATAAATGTTAGCATATGAACAAAATTTCTCATGCAAGTGGGAAATGAGGTAAAAAGTCAAAGATGAAAGAGTACTCCTTTAATGAAATGCTTCTTAATCCAATATATTAGGGGTAGACATATTCAACATTTTCTATTCAATTTATTCATTAATAAGTTAGATGATGAAATAAAGATAACACTAAATTTGAAGTGGACATCAGACAGCAAGATGAGAGGAATAATACAAAAATCTGCTGAAACCTAAAGGTCAACCATAAGATTTTACACTTTGAAAGGAATAGTCAGTTGAACAAACAAGGAACAACTGCTTAGTTACCTGTTCTTCAAAGAGGGCTCTGTTGTTTACAACATACCACCAGCTGAACATGATTCAGTAATGATATTCTTGTTGAGGAATGCTAACATTCTAGCTGCATGTATAAAGAGATACAGCCTGAAAAGTGCAAAAAATTAATCTTTTACGTCCACCCAACACTAGTAAAGCCTAAGCGTCAAGTTTTGGTTACTGGAATTCAAGAAAAAAAAGTATTAAAGTGTTCAGAGGATAACAGTGAACATTATCACAGGTCAGAAAATATGACCTGTGAGAGAACTTGTAAAGAGCCAGATTTATTTAGAAATTAGAAATTGCCTTAAGATCCATAAAATGTTGTCACAAAGAGAAAGAAAAGAATCAGTTCTCTGTTGCCATGTTGGGTAAGTCAAAAAAGAAACAAGCTTAAACTTCAGCAAGAAAGATTCACATTAGACATGAGAGAAAAATTCCTGGGGGTAAAGAAGTTCTGGAATAGATTACATAAACTATTCCTAAAAGTTTTTGATAACAAATTCACAGTATCCTTTGCAAGCAAAATTTAATAGCAAGGACACACGACTAACTGGAGATAAACTCCAAAGGTCTCCAGAGGTCCTTTCTGTGATTCTGTCATAAAAGTGACAGGCTAAAATTATTTCTAGATTTCTAGGTCACAAATAGGTCTATAAGAACATGACCTTTGGAGTTTATGGGGGTGAATAGTAGGGGCAGATAGAATGCAACATTGCAGCATTGTGTGACAGCAAACATAGTTGTTGCTGCTATTGTCTCTGTTTAAAGTATATCATTTACAGAAAGTATTCATCCAACTTGCACTGGCTAGATGCTAAATATTAACAACAGATGCCATAAACGTTTTACATTGGTTTCATTTATTTTTGGCATAGTCAGTTTAGGATATTGTATTACCAGCACAGGGAATTCCTGTGGAAAGAGATAGGAAAGTAACTCCAGTGCAACATGGAAAATTTGAGAAGCATATCCATGTTTTGTGTCTGTTTCTCCTTTTCCTTTATGCACTACAGATCCTAGTTCAGCTGTGGAAGCAAAAACTGAATACTATCTCAGCTCAAGCAGCATAAGTTATGAAAATGAACCTCTGTTTTCATTATTTTGTTCTGAGATGCATACGACCATCGTGACTGAACTAGACCTGCATTGTAACAGACCACCATTTTATCAAGGCTACTTAGTAATGAGGCATATAACAGAACAGAGGAGGACTTTTCAGGACCATTTCAGGGCACGTTTGCAAGGTGGCACTTAAAGAACCAAAATGCATTTTTACAGCATCGCATTTCAGAATGTGGCATTTTATATGACAGCAGGACTTAGCGGAGAGTTCATCTGTTCTTTCTGGTAACTCTCCATCTGAAGTCATACCATATTTGATTTTAGAAGTGGTTATGTTACAATAGATTTCTATGATCTGTCTAGTTACATAGGTAACATTCATCACATGGCATCTGAGACTTTAAGTAGAAAATAAACATCAGGAATACTTTTTTTTTTTTTTTCCGAGTTAGCACCCTGATTGATTTCAGAGGAAGTTTTGCTTAAGACCACAAAATAAATCCCCCAAAATGTTTTTAAAGGTTAGTGGAATATTAGCTTGCATAAGAATTGAAGGCTTTTATTAAAAATAGTCTGAGACCCTCTAAAGGACAATATTTATGCTCAACTTTAAACATATGTTTGAATTAAGTGACTTATAAGAAAGCATTTGTTTAAATAGAGTGTGTTGTGCTTTCTAAATAAGAGCCCTGTCCTAAACTGGTAAAGCTTCTCTTTCTACCTGACTGTGCATAGTAGAAAAGTATAAAGCAAAAGAAACTGTGGATGGGAGGAGGAAAATATTATATATGAAGTCTTCTTAAATTTGTTAAGGTTTTCAATAGTGCCTTAATTTCAATTGCAGAGTTTAAAAGCTGCAGATAAGTGATAAACTACAGGAAAAGCATTTTAAAATAAAGCCAAAGCAGCAGCAGCAGCTGGAAGCATAAAAATAGCCTAGTTCTAGCATTAGTGCTGTATTAGCTATATAGTTTAGCAGCAATGCTAATGTTGTTTCTGCTTCAAAGCTGCAGCATTACTAGTGATTTAGAGATTTCTGCTCAGAATCCAAAGCCAAACATTTTTCTCCTATATTGTTCATTTTGTTGCCCTCATTTTCACATTCACCACTCTAAATTGAAACATTTCTTTTATTAGATTTTGTTTTGCTTTTCAGGCAACTGGGCTGTGATAATAAATTAGTTTGAATTGGAAGTATGCTTTCAATTTGACTGTGCATTATTTCAATATCCCTGACACTGATCAGGTAGCAGTTGTTGGACTGCTGCCTGTTAGACATGTTCCAAGAATCAACCAAGCCTGACCTTCCTGAAGTAGCATTTTCACACAAACAACAGGTAGCTTTGTGGTCCCAGAGTATATTATTATGTAAATACAGCTTTCTGACAGTAAATAGGTTTTTTTGCAGCACACAGACCATCGCCTCAGCCTCGAAGATGATGGGGAGGCAGATTTCATTTTGTTTTTTCATTAAATGTACAGAGATTTCAATGTAAGCTTACATGGACATATCAGATCTGAATGGTTTTGCCCCCTTTATGTTCAGTCTTCTGCTTTGACCTGGCTTTGTTTGCTGGGGGTTTTTTTGTTCAATTTCCCTGCTTCCCTGAACCCCTTTCTTCAGGTAGTAAGAAGGGAGCACAGGGTTTAAGTTACTAGATAATTTGGGGATTTGACACAAGGTATCAAGATGTATGGGTCTGGTCACCTAAGCTCAGTCACAGAGCTCTCATTTAGTTCAGCAGTGGGCGTTTGCTTTTCCTGCAGTCATCCTGACATTGGTTCCTATATGCCAATGTGCAGAAGAAGAGTGTCACCCAGTCACTCACTAATCAAGGTATGGGAGTAGATGAATGGACGATGAGCATGAGGAGGAGTTGAGCAGTTCTGTGAGCTCCTCTGCATTAGCCCAGTGCAGAGATATTTAATGAATCTAGCAGCATTATCAACATACGCTAGTTCAGCAAGTCACACGTTCTTCAACATTTTCTTTTAGGTTGGCAATATATTTGAAGCTTTAAAATTTACACTCTTCTACCCTTTTTGTTTCTCAAAGACAGTAAGCAGTTCCAGATCATAGCAATCATTTAAACAAATTAACAAACCCCCCAGAATAAGGAAGTAAGCTAAAAGAACAGCATTGCGGTACATTAGGATTAAGTGTATTTCATTAGATATTACGTTTGTTGTCTTTGTCGGTGATGTACTCAAGCCTATTTGGCAGGTCAGCATGCATGCTGGAAAGACAGGTAATGGTTGAGAGGCAAGGATATTATTATTAATACAATCAAACAAATGTTTGGTAGGTTAAAATGTCAGAAGCTCTACCATGAAACATATCCCTTTCTGATACTAGCAGATGCTTCTGTAGTAGGATTTCTTGTTTGCTTTAAATTGTTTGTTTATGTGTCTAAATAAGCCTAAGGAAAAAAAAAAAAAAGGGTATCTGGCTACAGATCTTAAAATTTCTGCTAAAAGGCAAATGTCCAATGTGTTTGAAGTCTGCTCTAGAGCTTGTTAAATTGCTTTAGTTGCTGAGGATAGATTTTACTTTATTTTTTTAAATAGTTGCCTCATTAAAAGCTCATTTAGTGAACAATTTTATTGCTGTACCTATAAGAATCATAAATTGGAACTGCATTTAGTACGTGACTTCAATTTCTTAATGAGTCCCTCCAAATGAAGAATCAGATATGGCTTTTGTTAATAGTTTGGCTGAAAAGAGATTAAAAAAAGAGATAGAATCAAGCAGGAGAGAAAATTTAGTTATACTGTTGCCTAGAAATGGAAGATGAGACTGGAGGTGATAGTAGCTTTGTTGTTTCCTTAGGAGAGGCAAAAATAGTGCTGTTTGTCTCCTGTAGATCAAGAAGCTTACAAAAGAGCCAAATACGACCCATGATACCCCCAAATTTCTCCCATGCCAGCTGACTATGAACTAACTGGTTTGAGTTACTGCTTGACTAATCTCATTAGAGATGTTTGTGCCTGTTTTTTCAGGATTTCTGAGATCTCAATGGAAGTTGCTGAACGCGGCACTGTGTCTGGGATGACTCCTCAGGCTTACTTGATTGAGAAATGTGACTGCCCGTTGGGTTATTCTGGTTTGTCTTGTGAGGTACAGTACTAATCTGACTTCCAGTAGGAGTCTTTATGCCTTCTTTGATCCATTCATTAGTAAGGTGTGATAAGTAATTAGAGTGTGTATTCATTTAACTGGCAACACCTCTCCCTTAATTTAATTACTTACATTCTTTTTTCTCTCAGGTATCTCTCTTGCAAGGAATTTAAACACTTTTTTTTGCTTTAGACAAACATGCCACTGAAACTATGGCGATGACTTAGAATGCAGGAAAGTGAGCTTTACTGGGTCAGCATCTCTGAGGCTGAATTGTGTGACTGATGCTGACTGATCAAGCCTTTTTGGACAGATGTACTATGTACAAGAGATTGAACTATGTTATCGTGTTATGGTGAGGCCATAATACACAATACAGTTGCAATATCATATCTTCCAAAAGGCTGAACTGTATGCATCATTTTATCATGACCGCGATTCACAGAATCTGCAAAGAAAAACACAGGAAACCTCTATATCAAATTAAAAAAAAAAACCAATTGATTCTATCAATTATTTATAGTTGTAAGTAAACTACAAATTAACATTTGTAATAGTGAATAATTAAAGGTTACATACTACTTATTCCTGAAAAAAGATCTGTCAGTTGAATGAAATTCACCAAATAAAGTAAAAGAACAAATTGGAAAATGAAAAAGTTAAAAGTATGTTATTAAAATTGTAGCACCAAGCACTCTAAACAGAGCCATGTAGAATTTTAAAATTCTATTCTGTAAAGGCTTTCCAGATTTTTAAGTTTGCCTTGTTTGACATTTAAATTTCCATATAAAATTTTAATAGTTCTTTGAGCTGTGTGACTGATTGAATTTTTTTTTTTAAAAAAAGCCAAACAGCATTTCAATTTTGATTTCTTAAATTTTGGTATTATAATGAATAACTCAAATAACAACAAAATTTAAAAAGAGAAGTCATTTCAAAAGCAAAACTTGAAATAGTACATTCTGAACAGTTGGTCAAAAAGGCAGTTCATAGTTGAGAACCTGTAGATTCCTCACATTGATCTTTCCTCTTGAAATTCTTCCAATAGTGTGCCTTTGTGGACCAACACTAATAGGATGAAAGTTGTCCATTTTGCTTTTTTTTCGCATGCTTGACTGCTCAAAGTAGCACAGCAAATGCATTAAAAATGTAGATGAGAACCATTCTGTAGCATGTCTGTGCTTCATGAAAGAAGCTTCATGTTTTCAAGGAAGGAGATGTTTTCAAAGCTTTAGGGAATGTCTACTGCGCATGTTCAAACTGTCAGTTTTCTGAATACTTATAAATTATCCAAGTGGATCTATGAAAATACACTGAAAAGGGCCGCTGAGTTCTGGCAAATATCTTTCCATTTTACTCCCCCACAATTATTCTTGTTCCAGTGCTGGTATAGGACTCCCATAAGAAGATCTTGCTCAGTCCATACACAAAAGCTTGCCTCCTATCAAATTTCATTATCCCTTATATAAAGTGATGGAGCTGCTTGTAAAGAGGAGCAGGAATTCTGGAACACGGTCCTAGTAGTGTGTTTTGCTTTATTCTTAGAAGCAGGTGAATCACTGTGTCTTAAAATAAAATAGATCTGATATTAATGGAAACTTTTGTCCTGAACCGTTCAAGTTTGGTGAATCTCTAACTCATTGAACACTGGGAGAAAAGTGTTGGCCAACTAAGCGAGCTTGGTGGTCCTTATACATGTACTGTTTTGGTTTTTTTTTTTGCTTATCTAAATATTTTCATGCTGAATGCCCAAGTTTTATAGAAAATCAGCTGACTTGTATGCTTTTGTAAAATGTATCTTATGATTGGTACCAGAGAAAGTGTTTAAGATGTAATACATTGACTGCAGAATAGAAGTTAGTATTTTTGACTGTATGTGCTCTTGATGATGAGACTGGCAGTTTTTCTGTGTGCAAACCAGCGTGTTTTTATTATTAAGCAGGACTAGCAATTCCAAATGCCTTTGTTGCAATTGCTAGGTGGAGGTAGCAGGGAACAATACCTCGAGTATTCTGCAAATCCCTCAGACATCTTGACTAAGTGGGGTCTTCTAAAGGGTTCCCCCAAGCTAGCAGTGGAAGAAAATTTGGAGTGAGTAAATGAAGGGAAAGATGCCTTGCTATCTGCAAGAACTCTGCTCCCTTCAGATGTTGTACAGGTTCGTGTTACGCACCAAATGACACAACAGAACAGTGAGTTCGTAAGAAATGTGTGCAAGGAAGTGAATGAAATAATTCTCTTTGCACACTATTTTGATAAGAGCATACACCTGGATGTGTGTAAATACACATACAAGAAATTAACGGGCTTCAGCATTTGCTCAGGAGTACAGATTTTTTTTAAATTACTGTAACAAATTGCATTTTTGAAGGAAAATATATAATGTCATTAGAACTTTATTTTAATTTGCACCCACCAGGGGCTGGAATAAATGTCTCAGTTGCAACCTTCATACTTTGTGCTTAATTGTGCAATCTTCACATGCTCATAACTTAGTTTATTTTTAGCGTGCTCAGCGAAGGTTATGGTGTGTTCTGTGAAGGTTTATTTAATTTCTTTTTTTTGAAAAAAAGCGTCTGATACTCAGGCATTTTTTAAGCAAATGCTAACAGGGTATATGTATCTATTTCATGATTTATCCTGTAATTGCATTCTGAGGACTATGTGCACAGCAGTTTTTACTAGAAGTGACATTTATATCTTTTTTTTTTTTTTTTTTTTTTAATCCAGTAGCAGGCTGAAAAAACAGTGGTAAGATTTTCCCTAATGGTTACTTCTGAAAAACTTACAAACTAGTAATGAAAAATGTAGTCTGCTTCATCTTTTGTCTGTGTCCCATTTCATCTCAGAAATGCTTAGATCAAAATAGATAAGAAGAGTGTCAACAGCCTATCAGAAAAAAACAGTTAGAGGTTAGATTTGTTTGAGGATGTACCATATATTTATACCGCAATCCTAAAGTTACTCAGAACTTGCAAAGCTATGTTTGGACAAGGACTCTTCTGGGGATAGAGAGGGAGGAAAAAATTAGGAAACTGTAGTAAGAAAAGAAATTACTTTCATTTGCGATTATTTATCTAAATTTGAATTCTTCGCAAACCATGAAAATGCAGATAGACTGTTTCTGTGCTTCAGGGATCTTAATGTAGTCTAAGTCAAAATAAAAGTGGAAAAGCAGAACTGAGTTAGATTACTTTCTTTGTGATTCTAAAGAAAGTAATTGTGTTTATGCTTTTTCCATAACTTAGACTCCTGGAGGTTTTGGCAATGATTATAATACTGTCAGAGTGGTGTTGTCTGAATAGAATCTAGGATGTCAGCTAGTGCTTGACTGAAGAATCCTGCTTTTGATCATGAAAAGTTACTTCAGATTCTCTTTTGTTTTATTTTGCGTCCATTTTATTGCTGTTGGAAAAGTGTACAATTCACTTTTTTTCCCAAAAGCAGAAATTGTGGTCAACAGTAGGAAATGACCTCATCAGACAGCCTTCATAGGCTCCTAGCACCACTAGGTGGTGGGATTTATACATGGGACGAGTGACTTGTCTGTATGCGCTTACCCCCAATGGTCTGAACTATCAAATTGGTCCTGTTTGTACTTTTATGCTGCCATAGCTGTGTGCTTTCTGGGAGCTATGCAGACACTTTCATACATTTGCATAATAAGCCTGAAATAAAGATCAAGTGCTTGATTTTGTATGTGTCAGCTTTGCTAGTAATTTTTGGGTTGCTCTCAAAATTTTATTACCAAGCTGGGGTAGAGGAGACTTAGTGATAGATAAATTTGATTTGGGGCTAATAGTCCCAAGACATGTAAAAACTTTAATATTTTGAATTCTTTACTTTTATGGTCTTTAAATTATATAGCTATAAATAATGCAGCCATGCAGCCATTTTTTTTATTATTATCATTTGGTTTTTGCTTGTTATCAGGCAATATGTAGGCAGATATTAGCTTGTCAAACCTGAAAAACTCACTGAGGGCAAAGGAAACAGAATTACGCTTGCTCTCCACAGTCCATGCAAAAAATTTGTTTCGAAAAACAAACCTCATTCTTAAGACATGAAAGGAATAATGCTTGATGCACAGTGAGAACAGTGAGGTGTTCTGCATCTGAATGAAAGGTCTCTCAAGCTGTAATATGAAAAGCCTGGTGCCAGTGGAGTGCTCCAGGGATTTTTAGCAATGTTTCCAATTAGGGCTGGCTCTTGTTATCTGTAAAGTACTGTATATTGTTCATAACACAGCTGGAAGCCTGTCAGGTTCTTTTCACGACTTGTAAAAACTGGTGATTGGAAAGATGAGCTTGCAGTGCTCCCCATACCTAGTCCACTCTGTAATGATCTGTTTTCTTCTGCATCTTTTTTCTGGCAGTCATGCTCTCCAGGATTTTATAGGCTTCCATCTTCACCTGCAGGAAGGACACCTGCTCAGTCCTTAGGTGCCTGTGTTGTATGTCAGTGTCATGGACACAGTACTATGTGTGACCCTGAAACATCAGTTTGTCAGGTATTACATTTCTGAACTTATGCACTAGGTTAATCTTAAAGTAAAATTCATTAAAAAAATGGAGGACTATTTTAATCTAATTTTGCTTAAATAGCTTAAGTGTCAAAGTGAAAGGGGGGGGTCAAAAAAGCAAACCATCTACATTTAAAGTTTTCCATTCTGTTTTTCTGGAGTTCAGATTATGCAGTGCTTTATTGCCACTGAATTACTATTTGTGTAAAAAGACTAAATAGCTGCAAACTAAAGAGGCGCTGTTACCATGTGTCATGCAATAAACACAACACTGCTCTTATAGGTAGTAATATGTGTGACCTGATACAGTAAGACTGAATTTTAATTGTTTCTTTCTCCTGCTTCAATGGCTGGAACAAAAGAGGGAAGGAAGGATGAATGGGATAAGAAATTCTATAGGATACATCTGGGTAGCTACAGGCCTCCATTCTTTCTCCTTGTAAACCCGTATATAACTCGGCAGGCATTTGATAGATGCTTAAAGCAAGCAGTCCCACTGTGAATCATATCAGGGAGAGAGAAATTATGAATCAAAATAAGTTTGAATCCCTGAGGCTGGAAACAAAATGTTGTCTGCTTTCTTGTAATTATCAAATACAGCTTTCATTCTGTCTCCTTCCTCTGCAGAATTGTCAGCACAATACTGCTGGTGACCACTGTGAGAGGTGTGCACTGGGATTTTATGGTGTTGTCCAAGGCTCTCCAGATGACTGTCAGCCTTGTGCTTGTCCCCGATCCATTTCTAGTAACAAGTAAGTAAGCAAACTCATGATGCAGAATTAACTTTCCAGCAAGCAAGAACTTTATTTTGGGCTCACTGTGTCCTTTTTCAGATAGCTACAGAAGAAAGGCATCATGTAAGCCATACTAAAAATTTCATACCTACTTTTGCTAATTGATCACCCTTTAAAAATTGGAAATCGCTCCCTTGCTAATTTGTGATGAACAAATTAATAAGTGCTAGAAAATGCAATACTCAACAGATAATGAATGTGTGTTATAAAGGTATTCTCACCAATGAAGCTAGAGCAGAACTCAAGTACAATACAGCCACAAGAGAGCTGTAAAAAGTCTTGTGCTCATATATTATGTTGGTATAAATGTGTTAGAGTGCCTTTCTTGCTCCACTGTGGAATTTATTGATTCCTTATTTAATGTTACATGAGTTTTAGGCAATTTGTGAAAGATAGAATAATTTAAAAGCAATATAGTTATTGCAGCATAAATTTTATTGGTTGCTTTGTACTAATGAGCCTTGCCACGATGTCTCCGCATGTGTTCCCAACAGATGATACTTTAGCACTTGAGATTTGTTTGTTGTTTTGCTGAGAGGCTCTTAATGATATTTGGAATCATACAGTAGTACTGCTCTGAAAAGGTTTGTGTTTCATGATTGTTCTCCTGAAAGGTTGGAATTGTTCCTTAAAAACATTTTTCTGTGCTGTCTGACCTTTAGGATGTTTTAGTGAGTATTTCAGCCAGTATATCTGAGAGGGTTTTTTCTTCCTTCTTTCTTCTTCATTTTATCATTTTGGGGTAGTCTGAGGTTTGTTTTGAAGGAGGGATCCCTTTCTCAAACATCAGTAGCTAAAGATATCATGATCTTTCATCCACAGCAAGTGTTTTTAAGAAAACTTCCAAACCTCATAAATACCAAACTGAGAACAACAAAAACAATTATAAAAAGGGCTTAAAGAAATACACTGTATGTCAGAAAGTTATAATGTGGTCTTAACTGCAAGTTTTTCTGAGTTCTACCCTTTTTCATGAACGTTTCCTGTTACGACTTGATTATGTGTTCTACCTACTAGTATCAAGAAAGGACATTCAAGTTGCAAAGAACAAGATCAACCAAGCTTCTCAGCTTTGCACATCAACAACTGAAAGTAGGAAATTATGAAAATATCATTCGATCCTATTTTTTTTCTGGGGGTTAAGAACCTTTGGTTACCCAGAAATACAGGTGTCGGATCAGAAAATGAGCAGGACTCTTCACCCTTCACCACAAGAATTTAGACATATTCTCCACACTGTGCTCCAGAAATCACCTCAGTATCTTATCTAAAAGCTAACATAAAACTCAGGAAGTGGGTGTCACTGAAATGCTCTACACTTGAGAAATGTGTGGACTCCAGGTGGTACGTGTGTCCTGGGTGCGCACTCAAATTGCTGAGCTGCCTAAGGAAGGGAAAGCAAGCAAAGCACCAATACCTCATGCAGCCACACAGCCTGTGTGGCTGCGGATGTTGTCATGGCCTTTTGTGTCATGCTCACATAAAAGTGATCACGAGGCTTTTTGTTCAAAAGCCTTCATAGGACGTAAGTGAATAACATCGAGTCTGAAATTAGTAAATACACTTAATCATGAGATAGTCATCCAGTTTCTTAGTGCTGTCAAGACAGGAGTCAGATGGGAGCATGTCTGGAAACAGAACTGCTTAGGTTTTATAGACCTCAACTCAGATGTCTGTAGACGTCATGGATGGGTTTTCTGCTTCTGTTAGCTGTAGCCATCAACAGTCTTGGTACCTGTATAGCAAATGCAGGGACAGACAACTATACGTCTCACCCATGTTAAAACTGAAGGAAAGCACCATTGGAGAGACAGCGGGGGAGGAGGTGTTTCAAATGTGCGTATATGCCCGTCTGTGCATCTCCATTTTCCGTGATGATAGAGGATGCCTGAACAGTTGGCTTAGACTACATGCCTAACTTTTAGAATAGGTGTAGGTAGGATAGATCCATTCCATAAAGCTACAGAATTAGATGGAAAACGAGGGTATCACACCTTGGATTTGTGTGTGTTGTGCAGCTCAGTGAAAGCTCTTCAAGATACTATTAAGCAAAAAATTCTAACTACCTGCAGCTATTGTATGGTAGTTGAGTAATCATAACCTGCATGAAATGCAGATAGCTAATGAGCTATCTCATTAGCTTATTATGTCATGACTGACATGATAGTATTTGTGAATTAGTGTAGTGCAATTATTTTTATTTACGAAATTTTACAAAACTCCACTAAGGTTTTCAATACTGTTTTTATACTCCTGTACAATCAGCAGTCAGCTTCAAACATGATGAGCTGAAAAAAAAAAAAAGAACAGAGAGAATGAGTTGTTCCTGGGGGTGTGGATCTTTTTTTATAGAGTTGAAAATGTGTTGGATAATGAATTTGTGAGTAATAGATCAATTTGTTTACTTTTTTTTTGGAAAAGTGTAATTATATATACTCTTTCAAGCACTATTGATTTAATGCATTATAAGCAAGTTAAGAGTAGGATGCTGGCTGAGGATTCTGGCTGTACTGCACCAAGAAGGAGCTCTGGGCTCACCACTAGCCACCTCTGTGCTTTTCTGGTTCTTCCACAAAGAGCTGAAAGTTTTACAGTATTGCACCATTTTAATATTTAGTGGTGTTTCTTTTCCCCTACCTACCCTTTTTGTTTGTTTTAAGTATTTGTGCAGACACCTAATGCACTAATATTCCAGCAACATGCTACTTTGCAAAGTTCCCATAGGTACACACTGCAGTCATTAGTTTTTCATCTGTCATGGCTTAGTAAAAATAATCTAGTGTCTTCTATGATTAAAACACAACCTCTCCCTGATCATGAAGAAGGTAGCTTTTAGGGGTTTTTTTCTCTGTAGGCCAGTCTTTTCTCTTCAGTATGTCCTTGAGAAGATCATCTGACGCTGCCTTTTCGGAAGATTCCACATGGCTGTGACTTTGATTCCTTTCTCCCTCTGTATGTCTTACCTTTGAGTAAACTCTTCCTGGCTTATCTCCTTTTATTCAAGCTAAAATTAAATTGAACTGGAAAGGCTGGATGTTTGTTAGCTCAGTTTCTTTATCTTTTGTTTCACATCCTTCCCATTACTACCTTTTCTTGATCACTGTGACAGCACCATTCAATCACACAAGCCTACAAGCATGGGCGTTGTTGACTCCATCCCCTCTGATATGACCCTCATTGATTCTGCCCTTCCAGCATTTGTCTAACTTGTGCCAGTATCACAGGAAGGCATTCACAAAATTCTTAATAGAAAGGGGGATCTCCCACAGGTGTTTATAAACAGATAAGAAAATGCTGTCATTTACATAAGAGTGGAGCTTAACATGGGCTCTTCCGCACAGCTGACTAGAGCAAAATGATGCAATAGAGTGGAAAAAGTTTTTTTATTTCCTTTTTTTTTTTTTAGTTTTAGTCCTTCTTGTGTTGCGGAAGGACCTAGTGATTACCGGTGTACTGCATGCCCACCTGGATATGAAGGCCAGTACTGTGAAAGGTAGGATGAATGGAAAAAGAAGAAAGAGGGACAGTGAAAGTCAGGCAAGACATGAAGGAGAGCAATGTCTTTCAATACTATAGAAATATATTTACTAATGTTTAAATACATGCCTTCAGATAAGTTATTTCCTCTTTATGTGTTGTTAAAACTCAGCCATAATACAATTTTTATGTACACCCACTGTAAATTGATAATCAGTGTTATTTATATCACAGAAATTCTCCTAGTCTTACTTTCTGATTTCTGGGTTTTTTTTTCCCCTGGGCCTCAGAAGTTAAATCAAAAAATATGAAATTTGTCTAAAATTGCATACCATGCTTACAGTGTGCCTTGATGTCACTCATACCCTTTGTTCTAGTGACTATTGTGTCCTCATGGGCACTGACTGTGAAAGACACTTAGATCTAAAAATATTAATGACCAAATTGCAAATTAATAATCTAAACAGCAGCTGTTGTCCCATCCATAGCAATGCTGTGGGATTAAGATGATCAAAATTAGCAAGTGTCTACTATGAGATTTCACTTCTAAAACAAAACGCAAGTGGCTAGTCGGGGAAAAAAGGGTCCATAGACCAAACATTGCTAATGTAGAAACTTTTTTGTCATGGTATAGCAGAAGTTTAACTGAAAACTGTTAGGAGTGTGGAGTCACTTTTGCATACTCTTTCCATCCAGACTGTTCCATGTCCTGGTTAAAAGTTTTTGGTTTGTTGGACAGCTTGCAATATTTTTCCCTCTACAAATGCATACTGAGTCATAAAGCGCCAAAGATTTTTTTAATGGTTCATGAATGAATGTTCATACATAGTTTGTTTACAATCTTGCCAAGTATTCATTGTAGTACACTGTGCATCTCAGTTGGCCAAACCTGGTTTTGTATTTGCAATGTCTAGATGTTCTTCTGGCTACGTGGGAAACCCACAAACTCCAGGAGGTTCCTGCCAGGAATGTGAGTGTGATCGATACGGTTCCCTGCCTGTCCCCTGTGATCCTGTCACTGGACAGTGCACTTGCAAGCCTGGATTCACCGGGTGGAAGTGTGTTGGCTGTGAACATCGGCATGCGCGTGATGGCATGAAATGCATTTGTACGTATACTAATGTAATTTTGGAGAAATTTTGATTTTGTTTCTCATATTTCAGAAATTCAACCCTGCTTGTGCATCAGTCGGTTGTGTGGGTTTCTTTGAAAATAGTTGCCAGGTTTCTTACCACTTTGGCATTCTGGTCCATTTTTTTCACAAGCCTTGAGATGTTAGGACAACTCTCAGTACTTTTTAATATGCTTACTGAAAATTGACCACAAAGCTTTGAAGGATTTCTTTTTGTGGGTTTTTGAAGTCTATAGTTTTGCTAAAAGTTGTCTCTGCTGTTGTGACAGTATTAGTTCTTAGTGATTTTCTTAGTGTTGTCCTAAATGTTTAACCAGCAGTTACAATGCTCTATGCCATGAGTCACACAGAAGGTTTTTACCAAGGTTTGCTTGGTCATGTTCCTTCAACAACCACCAGCTGGAATTTAAAAGACATAAGGAATGACAGTGCAATATATCCAGGAACAAAGAACTTCGTTTGTTTAAAATAGAAAACTAATAGCCTAAAACACCAAGTTACATTTTACAGTTCTGGTATCTTTGCCCTACCTTCAGTTTTGATATGTACCAAGTGTCTTGTCTTTTATTATTTTTTGGAATTTTTTCCATGAAATTGGATAGTGTTTGTTTTGAGCCCACAATCTCATTTCCTGTGATATTGTATGCTTATGTCTTATTAAAAAAATTCAGGTAGCAAAACCTTTCCAGAACACTTAGTAAATCCTGACTGAAATAAGGCATTTTCCTTTCCTCCATCTCCGCCAGCTGAGTAGGAACTAATTGCATTGTGATTTATTTTTTTTTTCCTCTCGAGGCCATCATTGTTCATTTTAAAGTAGAATACAGATAGGGATCCAGTAAGTCCACAGTATATAATATTTCTTAATCTGTGCATCTTTGAATATATTGGAAAGGCATGATGAACTGGTTTTAATGTTTTGCCTGATTTTTATCTGTTATAGGACCTTAATTGGAGCTTTTTCATTTTGGGGTTTTTTTTAGCCTATGTGAGGGACATGTAACATCAAGGCAAGTAGATACCAAGAAGGTTTTTTTTTTTTTTTTTTTTTTTTGTCTTTTTTCACAGAATGCATTCAGTCTTTACCTACCAGAGATGTACAGCTCTCTAATACTAAAATCAGCTAGTACAGCTCAAACAAATTGCAAATATTTAAAATCAAATTGGAAAAATAAAGAAACCAAAGAAGTGCTAAAAATGGCTGAAGGTATATCAGTCAAGAATGAAATGTGTGGCTGCTTTGAGTGCTTAAAGAGGGAAACATCAGGCACGTAGGGTCAGGGACTACACAGGGCAGAACATTGTTTCACTCAATGGTTGATGTGAGTGATGGGGACTTAGCAGAACTAAGCTTCTAAATGTGACTATTGAGTTCAGCACTTTCGCATTAGTCCTGATTCCCAGGTACAACTCTTGGAAAATGAATAGAGAGATTACTGGGAATATAGACGTAAGTACTGCTATTTCTATATTATAATAATATGGCATTGGTTCATCAGTGAAAAGCTTAGTGTACTTAAGGGAAATAAATTTCTAATGTCCTGCAGCGTGAAGTAGTTTAGGACTTAATTCTGAACTACCGTACATCTTAAGCTCTATTTTAAACTACAGCAAAATGAATGCAAATAGAGTAAGTAGCTACTTTGCTGAAATAACTGCACTTTGGATTCCATTTTGTGGCCTACATGTCAAGGAGAATTATAATCATGAGTTAAGTCCGTAAGTGTTACAGCTACAAAATTTTAAAATAGGACTGTGTTTTCCCAAGTGGCATCTAAACAAAAATGACTTAATTTTTCAACATTCCGAATACCTGTTACATTATTTCCAGTACTAGACAATGTTTTCAATCTCAAGTACCACTTAGTCTGTTTTTTACTGGTCATTTATTGTATCAGTATTCTGAAAAGTCTTTTGGATAGCCAGGATGGCAGAGTTTCTTTGTACAAAACAGCATAAGTGGAAGTTTTCATTTGTAATCATTTTCCAATTTGTTAATCAGACGATTTCATTGCATGGATAATAAGGTTAAAAATCCTCACTATGAATGCGAAAAGCTGTGTGCAGGCAAATCAAATTTTCCACCTTTTTGCTTTGAAAGATGTGATTTGCTGTAATCTCTGATTTAACTGCAACGTATTCATGTGCGGATGTTGAAATGTATCTATGCTACTTGTAGGGGCATTTTTACTTTAACTAGATAATCAATTTTCACCATAAAAACAGCCCTTTGCATGTGCATGTGGACATTTCATGTAATTACTAAAAGTGAGGAATCAAATGAAAAGAATTCTTTCCTTTAGTAATAAAAATAGGAACCACCTGTAAGTACTTTAAATCTCCCCTATCACAGGAACTAGTCTGTTACTATTGACACTACATCAATAACATCCGTATCATAAATTGCAAAAACCGCAATTAAATATTTCAGTAGACACTTTATGCCTATTTGCTCTCACCTTATGATTTTCCCTTTCTTTAAAGGTTCCTCAACCCCCATATTAGTCCAAACCCACCTTTGCTAATACAGGGCAATACCCCAACATGGTAGAAAACAAGCCTGATCAATGAACCATTTACCTTTGTAGCCTGGGGTGGACATGAGGGCTGTGCTAGACAAAGGGAGTGTGGCAAGCACAGACTTGGTGGGAATCTGCCTGTGGTTAACACTGCCAGTATGTCACAGGCTTCAGAGTACAGCTGTTTTTTTCTGATAGGGATTCATTGCTGCAGCCCCTAATGTGCTTTAATAGTCATTGTGCTGTCAAAGAACCATTAGAAACACCTTTTGGGGAAACCCTGAAGCTTTCCTTCCTTACTCCCATAACATTTATCTGTTCCAATCTGAGTTGAGATTGGAGAATTTGGTGAGAATACAGCTGAGAATTTGGTCCTGTATACAATATATTTTTACTTTTGTGTATCAACCACTTCCAAAATACTCAGTAAATTCCCTTCTGACTAGTTTCAGTTGTAACAGAACCTAAATACTAAAAATAATAGTGATTAAGTACTCTTAATGTACAGAAAATTAATGCCATATGCAGAATCTGATTTGCATTCAATATGTCAAATGAGCTGTATGCATGTATCTACTTCTGCTCATTTGCAGAGTTCCATTTCAAATACTGCAATTGCATTGTACCTGCCAGAAGCATGAAGAACCCCTAGTTAGGTGGTAAAATGGTCTAGCTTAAAGAAAATACATGCAAATAGAATCACCCATGTTTGAAAAAATGTAGTTGTAAGTAATATAAAACATGATGTGATTAAGCTGTCCAGTGTTAGTATGTTATAGTTAATAGTTAGGAAAGTGAAAATTGTTTTTTAATATTTAGCAAAGAACAACAACCTGAATAATGAATTTTTGGCAAATTCTATAGAAGGTCACCACACAGTATGACATGACAGCTAAAAAATGCATATTGAAATCCAATTAGAGAGGTATTTTAGCCACAATATTGTGATGTATTATTGTTTAAATATAACATTTATATTTTAACGTATCCCTTATCATAAGTATTCTAAAGATTTTAGAGTGAAAATTTGCTGTGAAAAGGCAGACAAAAATCCGGAGGAGCGTGCATGTTCATTAAAGTGATCTGTTTCTGATGTAGCTGAAAATCCGTTTTACCAAGTTCTTACTGTTTTTTTCATAACACGTCATTTTTCAGTTGCTTAGTGCATACCACTTTTCAGTGCTGTGTTATAACTTATATTTTAGAAAACTACAGGTAGAATGGAAAGAGAATATATTTTTTAAAAGCCACTGTACAAAGGGAAAGAATTTGTTTACTGCTAAATAACAATGGAAAGATAATTATAGGTGAATGGCACAGACAGAATTCACTTCCCACTATATTCTTAGAACAGAAGAATGTTGTTTTCTCTAGGATGCCATTAGGGAATGGAAAATGATATCCAAAGAGTAGATTTTTTTTATAAGTAATACAAGAGTCTGAATGGTCTACTACACATCATAAAAATAATAATTTTTTTGCATTAGTACAGTTAATAACTGGGTTATTACCCCAGCTAAAGTGACCATCTAGATCATCATGTACAAATACTCATAATACTCTGCTGATGAAGACTTCCTTGTAATATTTGGTCTCAGGTAATCCACTTCTTAGGCTCACTTTCCCTTCTGTTTTGAAACAGTCAGTAGCCAATAAGAAAATTAGTAGTGACTGCGAACTAATTTTAATAATGCTGCCAACGTCCTTGTATACAGTCAAATATGACAAAAGTTCTCCCAAATCTTCTCTAATGCTTACAGATTTTTATTTTTATTTGTAACTATAGATGAATTGTCCTCTAAATGACTGATGCTCCCTTATGCATCACTCATTTTTACTGTAATAAATATATCTCAATGTTTCTTCTGCTGAAAGTTGTCAACTGGCAATTGCTGACTGCCCTATAATCACTACAGTATTGAAGATTTATATTTTTTGTTTTCTTAGTTAAACCCCACAGTTCCAATCCAGAATATGGCTGAGTTGTGTGATGAACAGGAGCAGCCTTTCCTCAATTCATCTGTACCCAGCATGCTCAGGCAGACTGAGTTCAATAGTATTTGGTTGATTCATATTTTACACATAGATACCAGAAATAGCAATACATGCTTTGGCTTGTTTAGATGCCTCCTCATCCTTCCCAAAGAGCTTTGACCTTAGCAAGCTGAAGTGGAAAGAAGGACCTACAAGGGGTTTTGGATCAAGCCTGTAGCAGTCATGCGTTTTCTTAGATTAGTAATTCTCTTGTGTATTTTTTGTTACATCTTGTGACATTCCACTTCAGTTGTAGAGTTTGCAGTACGTAAAATGAAGAACCTTAGATTGCAGTGTTGTTGGAACAGTGACTGTGCTTGCTACTGTGCAGTATTTAGTGAAAAAAACAACCCTAGTGAGAACTTCAAGGCTTTATTGTCAAACATATATGGCAAGTCAGAACTCACCTCCTGAATACTTTCAGGGCACCAGTCATAACTACAGTGGGGACTTAAAATAAAATTGGTTTCAATGTTTTGAGCTCTGTTGCAACAGAAACTGAAAAAATTTTCCTCAAGATGTATGCTCCCGTCACAAATGCTCCTTGGGGTCCAGCAAAAACCTAAATGTAAAGCAGTTGATGTGGTTCTGCTGTACGAGATTAACAGGGAACAGGAAGCAATCATAACATAGATAAACAGATATTTCATTGTTAGGAACTTTTCTTTAACTC